TAACCGGTTCTCCGTATAAAGCGGGCTATCAGAAAAAAAACGCCAGTTACTGTCACAAGTTGTATCTATATAAAGACATTTTAGCGAGAAAACTTTCGATTTAATTTCTTAACTGGATCGATCTTCAACAATTTAAGTTCACCCTAAAGAAATCTTACGATCATTTGTCATAGACTTGAAATATAATTACTTTTTAAGTTGACTTTTGAGGTGTTTCGATACAGTTTTCATAGGCCATACCGATATTTTCAATCGTCTTAAAAGTGGTTTAATCCCTTGTCTGATCGCTATAAAATTTTTCACCAGTAATTTGCTATGGATTGAAATTTATGAAAATGTAGTTGTAAAAACATCAATATTACTATGACAACAATAAACAAAAAAAACTTTGTAACTGATAAAAGCCGAATTTTGTGTGATGTAGTAGATTCCTAGAATTTACCAACTGAAGACATTTTGTATCTATTTTCGTTGTTTGAAATGTATTCCTTATCATTAAACTACTTATATGCAGTTATATTTCTTCGTGATGCAAATTAATTGTCACGGCTCTACACAATACAAATTATCCTGACATTCATTAGCACCGTTAGTAAAAATGAAAACGATTAGTACCGCCGGGGGGTACTCCTATAATGGCCTATACAGGGGAGGCTCCGCCCAAGGAGGTACCTTTTCAGGCTTTAGTAGGTAAATATATGAAAGGGCAAGGGTTTCATTAGTTTAAGTATATGAGAAACTTTGGAAATCTGTCCTTTTGGTCAGTAATAGAACCAAAAAAAGGACAAACATATATCTTGTGGATGTGAAAGAGACAAGAAAACTTCCTAGTTCCGTGATTGATTTGTATTCAAAAGAAGGTGCAAATACAGCAATTAACGTCTAAACTAGGTATATGAGAGGAGTACTATCTGTCAGTAGAAGGTATGCAAACGGGGTAACTGGTATATAAAAGGGTAAGGGGGATTGGACATCGCAGCACAGCCTCGGTGTATAAAACTTCGTTGAGTGCCCTCCCCACTCGGGATAGTAAAAAATAAATGCTACCCTGATATAAATGCAAGGTGTGTTTATAATCTATAGTTCATAAGATTTCTGTGTTGGTTTGAGTGTTATTCCTTCTCTGTTTTTATGCGACCTTACAAACACCTGCCACTGGCCTCAACATTGGCTGTCTTGGGTGAATTTTATAAGGTGGTTGTTTAGTTACACGTCTGTTGTAAACTTATCCGTCTTAGTAATGGATCGTTTTATTGCCATCGTCCATCCTCTAAAATACATTACTTTTATGACTCGCCGTCACATCATCCAAGTTATTTTCTTCTCTTGGGCTGCAACAGCTGGTTTTGAGGTTCTTCAGTTTTCACTTCGTGCTAGCCGGTTTAAAAACGAGACTTGTTGATGCTATTTTTTGCTGGCTGGGTGTAATTTTTCTCGAGTTTCTCCCATCTACACTGATGGTATTCAGTTTTGTTTCAATGATAGTTCGTGTACGCAAGCATTAGGGGTCAGCACGCACTTTATCGAAACAGCTACGATATAATCATCGCTGCGTGTCTCTTAAAACCTATCACGGCGAGAAGTCTGCTGTAATAATGATGGGTATTGTGATAGGAGTGTTTGTTATTACCTACGGAATGTAATTGCATTTTAGTTTTCTAATACTATTCGACAGTACTGGAATGGCATCATGCAACGATGTGAAATACAAAATTCCTATCTTGGTTTCAAATTCGTCAATTAACCCCTGGCTTATGCTTTTTCAAAAGAGATGTAAAGAAAGAGTTTAGAAGACTTATCTCTATAAATGTGTTTTTAAAGAAAGGCAACCAAGTTAAGCCTTCCACGTTCGTGCTTGACACGAGGAGGCATCTTAGCAGCTCGCTCGCTTAAAGTACTTACAGTTGAAATGTACAGTCAAAAATCTCGATTTGCTGCATGCTCAGAGCTTAGAGCGGCATGCTTAGAGCTGGCAAATCCATGGCTCTTTTGGACTCCAACTGAATAATTATTGAAATTTGCTGGAAATATTGGTATTTGAGGAAGGAGCAAGACCGATATGACCCTGAGAATACTCTTCTTAGAGAAAGCTCGAAAGGACACAAAATATACATAACGTGTAAGCGACGATTAGTTTGAGATTCAATCCCAGTGTTCTTCCTATTAAGTGGTATAGTAGGATACGAACGTTTTACGGCAGAAAACGAACAAACAAACAAATAAACAAAATGGCAAAAGACAAGGAGAATCGCGAAATATGTCATAATATGTCTGGGAACTTAGTTTAACACCCTTTCTAGTTTTCGCTATTAGCTTTTGAGGACATTAATACTTATTGGGAAACCGTGCAATAAAAGTTCATCATGTTTTCAGTTAGAAAGATTACTTCTTTTGTCTTGTGTTCACAATGGGTGTTTAAAATTTCGTTTTTGTTTTGAAGACAAAATGGATCGTGGTGAGCGATGTAAAACATGGTTTTTGTCCCCCCGTCATTGACGTTCACACGCCTTAATCAGCATTGAGAAATTCATAGAATGGATTACAGTGGAACCTCCATAACACGAAGGGCCAAGGGACCGGCAAAATGTGTTCGTTATAACGACGTTTCGTTATATCGAGGGTAATCCACTGTACTAGCTAGATGATCGAAAAGGCGATGAAAGATAACTAAATGAAAATAGTTATGTACAAAATAAATCATTTTCTATTTCTGAAAGGATCTTATGAGATTAACTGGTATGAAGAAAGAAGGAGAAACACACTTAAAAAAAAAAAAACACTAAATAAATCCTTTCACATTCGCAACCTAAAGAAGTGATCTTTTTTCCCCTATTGTACAAATCCATATATTGGAACGTGACGCAACATTGCCCATGGTCAAATTTCTAGCAGGGCCACCTGTGATTCAACTAAAAAATAAATAATGAGTGCCTTTCGGGAGCCTTTGAAATATTATGATTGTTAATTATGACAGTTGTTCTTAAAATGACATTTGCGCTGTTCATTGGTCAAGAGGTAAAGAGAACTAGCATAAAATCGTTATGAATTAAGTCTTATCGAAGTAAAATGATTTTTTTCAAGGGGAAAAAATAATGCATGTTTCATAATAGTTTTTGGCAAAATTTGTCAACTTCTAATTTCCAATGCTAAATAAAAACTAAACGAACGAAAATAGTTTCTTTTCTTAGTCTGTATAAATCGTGACACAAAATTGACTGTTGGCTGGTTGCTCAAGAGGCAGTCCAACACCAAACAGGGGAAGAGTTTGTCCACCGCTGAAACGCTATGATATTCAGTAAGTTTTTCGAAAAAATTAAGCGACAAGAAATGGAAGTACAACAGAAAAATTTTACCTTGAGATAAAAATATATTGATAATTTTGCAGAACAGTTGTTTGAGCAGTCATATCGAAACTTCTAGGTTTCTTACGCCATTTAGTATATTTTAAGAATTGTAAATTTAACACGTGTTCTACCATAGCTAATAATTCACAAAGGTGCACTGAACCAGACAATTACGTCGAGATAGCCTGCGTTGCAGCAACGTTGCAGCCGGCCCACGCATTATCTTTCTTCGACGCGGGCAATCGTCGAGATGGCATTTTAATAGTTGACATAAAATCGTTAGAAAGTCTGAAATATAAAATAACTAGCAGGCTTTAATTTACCAAGGAGAAAGAAAAAATGCATTTTTTTTATTACAGGTACGTGTATGTATATGTATGTGTATTTTTTCTCTAGATTCTTTAAAATTGGTGATAAAAGAACTCAGTGGGCAACCTAACCCCCCCGAGGGAGGGGGGTGGGGGGTACTGGCAGATGGGATACATAATATGCCTCTTTATAGGGTATGGTGTTCAAGCAGCTAAGTCTGTGACTGGATATAGAGAGAGCAACTCTTGGATAGGGAGGAATTTGGGAAGTTTAGTATAGAATAGGAACATTCAGCTGAACCAGAAGTATAGGCTAGGTGTTCCAGTGTCCCAGCGGCACATTATCACCCGAAAATTTCTAAAGACCCCCCCGCCCCCGGCGGCAACCCTAAAAGAGTAGACGAGATGTCCACTGCTGGAACGGTACATTAAAAAAAGCTACATAACAAAATCTTCGAAATTAAGCGATTAGAAAAAGACCACTTTATATATCTTTACAAACGTATTAGATTCCAAGAATTTATTAAAACATTTTCTACTTATTTTATTATCAAACACACAAAGAAACGTTACGTATTTAATATATTATCGTCCTGATGCAAATTTTTTGTTATAGCACAGCGCAAGACAAATTATTACGACATTAATTAGCAAATTACTACAAATAAAGACTATTAAAGAACAAATAGAGTGTTTTTCACTCACGTGGCCAGCACCTATGCAAATTTATTGGAACAAAAGAGAGCGTTTACAGAGGCGAAGAGTTCAGTCAACTCCCACAGGATTGGTTGGCACGCCAACATGGTCGCCGTTTCATTGTTTTGGAACACCAATATCGCCGCGGTGACGTCATGTAAAAACGCCCCATAGTAACCAGTTGTCATGTGTCCCTGATATTTATGCAAGATGTTGGTTGTATTGTACAGTTGATAAGAACTCCCTTTAACTGTTAAGATGGAGACCTGGTTTTGGATTCTTGGCTGGGTTCTTTCATTCCTGACCATCCTTGAAAATGGATTTACAATCTTTCTCGTATGCAGCAGACGAAATCTCCGCACCAAAACCAACGCGTTTATAGTTTCACTTGCAGTAGCGGATTTCTGTGTTGGTTTGAGCGTTATTCCTTCTCTGTTCGCATGCGACGTTACAAACACCTGCCACTGGCCTCAACATTTGCGATCTTGGGTGACTTATATAAGGTTGTTGTTTAGTAACACGTCTGTTGTAAACTTATGCGGCTTAGTACTGGATCGTTTTATTGCCATCGTCCATCCTCTAAAATACATTACTTTGATGACTCGCCGTCGAATTACCCAAGCTATTTTCCTCTCTTGGGTTCTAACAGTTAGTTATAATGTGCTAAAAAATACCCTTTGTATTGTTTTATATCAAAACCATACCTGTCCTTTTTGCAATTTGGGTGATGACCATAGTTTTTGAGATTCTTCCATGTGTTATACTGATACTCTGCTTTGTATCAGTGATATTTCACGTACGCAGACATGATCGGTCAACACGCACCCTAGCAAAACAGTTACGTTTTAACCATCAGGTGTCTTTTAAAACTCATCACGAGAAGTCTGCAGTAATAATGATGGGTCTTGTGATAGGAGTGTTTCTTGTTTGCTATGGGATGTATCTGCGTTGTAGTTTTCTAATACTATCCCAGACTAGCACTACGATAACCTCATCGCCATGCCATGATCAAGACTACAAAATTCCTCTCTTGGTTTTAAACTCGGCCATTAACCCGCTGGCTTATGCCTTTTTAAAAAGAGACATAAAGAAAGAGTTTAGAAGACTTATCGGTCAGGTGGTTTTTAAGAAAAGTAACCAAGGAGAGCCTTCCACTGATCGTTAGATCATTTTTGAAGGACAGAAATCTTATTATTAGTTGGCAGAGCTGCCTTTGATAGCGGATTGTGTCAGGCATCGCGGGCGGCAGTTTTGGAGCCCGCAAATCCCTGGAGGTTTGTCTCAAATCATAGTTTGGAAACACTGGTGTTTAAGGAGGGTACAAGAACCAAAGTACGATAAGAATACAATCCAGTATAAGTCAGGTGCTTTCTTGAAACGATTCCGAGGTATATATATAAAAAAAGACTTGTTGCCGCTGTATTTTAAAGAAAATACATCAATTTTAACTAAACCCTACCACAGGACGCGTGACTCAATTTTGGAGGATGTAGGACTTAAAAGACGCTGAAAGGCTTGAGAAGAGACTGCCAGATGGATCTGTGACTCTTGACTGAAAGCGAATTGGAATTTGGAAAAAAAAAATAAACAGGCGTACGAGGAGAGAAAACAAGAACCTTTGGACCCTAAGAGAATGTAAAATATCAGGGAAAGGATTTAGGATTAAGTTCACACAGTGGTGGGAGGCGAAAGTTCTTATCAGATGGAACCTTTAATATCACATCGTGAGAGTATATTTTTATGTTCACATCCTGCAAGCAGACATTTGGTTTCACTTTCTCCATTTTGGCGCACTGTTAAAAAAGAGCATGTGAATTAAGTAGTAGTTTATTTATCTTCCAGATGCAAATTATTCCGATCAATTTAGCTTAGCCTGAATAAATTGTTTAAGAACGTTAATGCGATCCGCATCGACCATACAGGTCTGAGTACTTTTATTTCTCAAGGCCATCGTTTTCTTTAGCAAACAAGTTTCCAAGCTGTTTCTTTGCTTTGAGTTTAACTTTTTGTAGCATCTCATATATATGTATTTTTTTCGACAGTCATGCAATTTTACCTACTCGCTTTTGATTGGATAGCGAAAACGAAAAAAAATAAATTGCTGCCTACCTTTTGCCGTAATTTGTAACACCTGTCTCAGTTTCTAATAAAGAACTGTCGCAAATAAGAATACAATGATCTCGCAATTATTTAGTGAACCAAGTTAACAATAAATTGCAGTAAAGGGATAACTCACGTGCCTGACTTTGTCCTGTTTGACTGACAGATGTTTTAGCGCTATTGCCACGTGACGGTCCACATTTGCTCTAGCTCTTGCTAACTTAGGAATACGTCAATTTGATAAATGTGACCCTGCTTTTTACCCAAAAGCGTTATTGCGGGCGACAAGAGGAGCCCGCAATCCTAATCTCCAGGTTGTTATTACGCATGCGTCGCATGTATATGTAGCCAGCATTAGTTTGGACTTCCACTAACAATGAAGGGAATGCACAGAACGCAATTTGATCACGCGCGTCTCTACCTTCTGCCCCTCGTAATCTCAGTGATCACGCCTGTTTTGACCATATGCTACGTGAAACTTACGCAAAGCACGGCGATGGAGCAAAAGCGTCTTGACCTTCGATCGTGTCGCCCGCACTCCCTAACCTTTGGTTTTTACTAGTTATTAGTTTTTTCCCATGCGTCGCATGCATGTAGCCAGCATTCGTTTCCACTTCCACAAAGAATGAATGGAATATACAGAAGGCAATTTGATCACGCGTGTTTGGACCTTCTGTCACTCGTAATCTGATCACGCGTGTTTTGACTATCTCTCATGTGAAACGTACGCAAAGCGTACTTAGGCACAGTGATGGAGCAAAACCGTTTTAATCTTCGAACGTTGCCGCCCGCACTCAGTAACCTTTAGTTATTAGTAGTTTATAATCTATAGTTGATAAGAACTTCCTTTAACTGTTACTGCGGATGGAGACCTTGTTTAATTTGGATTCTCGGCCGGTTTCTTTCATTACTGACCTTCACTGGAGATAAATTGACAATCTTCCGCGGCTCGGATTTGTAGCAGACGAAATCTCCTCACCAAAACCAACGCGATTATTGTTTCTCTCGCCGTGGCAGATCTCTGTGTTGTAGTTGAGCGTAACTCCTTCTCTATTTTTCAGCGACATTAGGGCAAAAACGCCTATTACTGGCTTCAGCATTTGCTATCTTGGGTGACTTTTATAAGGTGGCTGTTTAGTAACACTTCCGTTGGAAACTTACAGAGTTTAGAACTAGATCGTTTGATTGCTATCGTCTATCCTCTAAAGTGCATTGTTTTAATTTATGACTCGTCAACGAATTATCCGTTAGCTATTTTCTTCTTTTGGACTATAACATTTGGTTTTGTGGTTTTTCGATTTTCTTTTCGTTTTAGTTTAAAAACGATTCCTGTCACTGCTCCTTTTAACTTTCTGTATGTAATTTCACTCGAGATCCTCCCATGTGCTCTGATTATAGCCAGTTTTGTATCAATGATTTTTCATGTAGGCAAGCATGATCGGTCAGCACGCACCTAATAGCAAAACAGTTACGTTTTAACCACCGGACCATCGGGCGCTCTTCACGAGCGGTTTGCAGTAATAATGATGGGTCTTGTGATAAGGGTGTTTCTTGTTTGCTATGAAATGTACCTACGTTGTAGTTTTCTATAATGAAAACTATAGAATTCCTGTTTTGGTTTTAAACTCGGCCATTTACCCGCTGGCTTATGCCTTTTTCAAAAGAGGCAGTCATAAGGAAAACGTTTTTAAAGAAAGCTAACCAAGGGAAGCCCTCGCACGTATGTGTTTGACTCATTTTCTACACTGTAGGTCTTAACAATAATTGAAGTAGAATAAAGAGAGTGACAAGCTTAGAACTGGCCAATATGTGGCTCTTTTTTTTGCACTCCCGCTGAATTGAAATTTGGAAACATAGTATTTAAGAAAGAAGTAAGACACATAGGACATAGAATATCTGGTGGACTAAACATCAGGTAGGTTGTTTTTGGCGAATTCTTTATTTTCTGTGCGAAACATCAACTTGACACTTGGATTCTTGCCCCCCCCCCCCGAAGACATGTGGTATGGCGTGATTCTGTCCATCCTATAAAATAAATTACTTTTATGACTCGCCGTCACATCATCCAAGTTATTTTCTTCTCTTGGACTGCAACAGCTAGCTGGTTTTGAGGTGCTTCAGTTTTCAGTTCGTGTTAGTTTAAAAACAAGACTTGTTGATGCTAGTTTTTGCTGGCTGGATGTAATTTTTCTCGAGTTTCTCCCATCTACGCTGATGGTATTCAGTTTTGTTTCAATGATAGTTCGTGTACGCAAGCATTATGGGTCAGCACGCACTTTATCGAAACTGCTACGATATAATCATCGCTGTGTGTCTCTTAAAACCTAATACGGCGTAATGCCTGCTGTAATAATGATAGGTATTGTGATAGGAGTTTTTGAAAGAAAGATAACTAAATGAAAATAGTTAGTACAAAATAAATCATTTTCTATTCCTGAAAGGATCTTACGAGATTAACTGGTATAAAGAAAGAAGGAGAAACACACGTCCACTTGAGTGAGGTTAGCCGATTTAAAAACTACATGTAGATCCTTTCACATTCGCTACCTGAAAGAAGTGATCTTTTTCCCCCTATTAGACAAATCCCTATTGGAACTATTACACAACATTGCCCATGGTCAAATTTCGAGCACGGCCACCTGTGATTCAACTTAAAAATAATGAGTGCCTTTCGGGAGCCTTTGAAATATTATGATTGTTATGACCGTTGTCATTAATATGACAGTTGGGCTGTTCATTGGTCAAGAGATAAAGAGGACCAGCATAAAATCGTTATGAATTAAGTTTGATTGAAGTAAAACGATGTTTTTCAAGGGGGAAAAATAATGCTTGTTTCATTATAGTTTTAGGCAAAATTTGTCAACTTCTAATTTCCAATAAAAACTAAACAAAGGAAAAGAGTTTTTTTTCTTAGTAGGTATAAATCGTGACACAAAATTGACCGTTGGCTGGTTGCTTACTAGGCAGTACAACACCAAACAGGGGAAGAGTTTTCCACCGCTGGAACGCTATGATATTCAATACGATTTTCGAAAAATTAAGCGACAAGAAATGGAAGTACAACAGAAAAGTTTACCTTGAAATAAAAGTATATTGATAATTTTGCAGAACAGTTGTTCGAGGTCATATCGAAACTTCTAGGTTTCTTATGCCATTCAGTATATTTTAAGAATTGTAAATTTAACACGTGTTCTACCATGGCCAATAATTAAAATAGGTGCAACCAGATAATTACGTCGAGATAGTCTGCGTTGCAACCGGCCCACGCATTAGGGACCTTAAGATCCGAGGACGGCGACGGCAGAGAAAAAGTCGATGAAAAAGTGAATTCGCGTTCTTTCAATCTTCATCTCGAGTACTCCAAGTCACTAACTTTGTCAAATGTATGCAAACCCTCCTAAAGTTGAATTCCTAAGAACCATATTCAAGTTCAGAAAGAGAGAGGAAATTTCATCGTCGCTTGTGTACTTCGTCAGTACGACCCTCTGTACATCGTGAAATTAGGCATTTTCACGTCGTAGTCGTGCATTGACCTCAAAGAAATATACAAAAAAGCGTGATGCACGTGCAAAATTGTTGTTTTGCTAATTAAGCCTATTGCTTTTGTGACGTTCCCGCTTAGTTCATTTTGTACGAGATAAATCTCAGGGTGCGTTCTTTTTAGAATCACAATCGGATTTTTGATCTCAGACCATATGGATTCTCCTGCTTAACCAAAAAGGGGTAATCTGAAAAATGAACATTTGCTATGACAACTGCACATCCTCTTGCTCCTCGTGATGAAAAAAAATAAAAAACAACAGCAAACTGATCCTCAGGGCGAAGAGAAATGGGAAAAGCAACATCGTATTAATCAATGTATGAAGACGTTTTTTTTCCAAGAGGGAACGGTGACGATTTACACAACTATCAATTTATTTATGAATTAATCTGAAACTTCTCGTACGGTAAATCGTTCTAAGATTTGTAGCTTTTTTTTTTTTCAGAATTTAATTTTACTACTTTAGCATGAGGTGTCATGATAATTTTAACTGATGTTTGAAAATCCGCTTTTATTAAAAAGTTTATTATTATTGATATTAGTTTTTCTCGCTGGAAGGAGGGTATAAACCATTTGTTTGTAAGATTATCTGTAAAATATCCAAATTCTTTCCTTTCTGATTGGTCCAAAAACAAAACGTTTGACATAGTCCTGTCCTGATCGGCCAATGGTTTCATCTGGTCAATTTGTCAATAACTTGGTAGAAATTGTTTTTCATTGTTTTATTATCATTTTGCCATAAAATTAATTAAAAAGAAAAGAGGGAAGGGAGCCCAAGGAAGCCAATAAGACTTAGCTTGTGAATGGGAACAACTTTAAAAGTATGTTATCTAATTGATAAATAAAATACTGACATCGGCAAGTGATTGAGTGTTTTAAATAAAACGTAAACGATACCAGTATTGAGCGAACGCCCTCCTGTTTACTTGATAACAGTTCCCTTTCTTTTCTTATAATGCTCCAGTTGGTACTTTACTACAGCACAGAAATACACTCGCGATGTTTTGAGAAAAATGCCATCAAACCATAGCCGTAGTTTTGCGTTCCCCGGGTGAGAAATACTATTATGTAAAATAAGATTTAGTTGATCAGGACGTGCAGACCGCATTATATGGTATTGCAATACTCACGCTGACGTCACCTCTTAATAGGGAGCTTTAGCATCGACCACGGCGACGGCAGCGAAAACGCCACTTTTAAAATGAATTCACTTTTTTTAAAAACTCTGTCGAGTTTATTTCAGTTCCCTGAAAATGTTAAATGAAGGCGAATTTCCCTGGAGTTAATTTCTTGGACACCGCACTCAAGTTTAGAAAGAGAAAGAAATGTCGTCGCTTGTTTACGTACTCCATTAAACGTGAAATTAGGCATTTTCACGTCGTAGTCGTGAAGTGACAGCAAAGAAATGTACGAAAAAGCGTGATGTACGTGCAAAGTCATTGTTTTGCTCAATAAACTTATTATTTTTTTGACGTTCCCTTTGCCTTTGTCGTTACTAAAGGTCCCTAATATTAATGTGCCTAATGTTAATGTGCCTAATATTAATGTGCCTAATATTAATGTGCCTTATATTAATGTGCCTAATATTAATGTGCCGACCAGAAGCGCATTGGTTCTTACACTAAAAATTCGTTTGTTTCACTCGTTACAAATTTGACTAACAATTAAAGGATGTTTGTAAACAGTGACGTCTCTTATAGCTTAATCGTGGGTTTATTGCTTGTACTTACAAATGAAAGTTACTGAATTAGTTATTAGATTCCACTTAGCAGCCAGCCCGAGTACACACTGCTGGCAGCGTCTTGTTTACTTCTTTCCTTTATTTTGTTATTGCTGTGGAAAACGATAGAACAAGTAATCGAGATAAAATGAATCGTATCCTGAGTGATGTGAAATTAAATAAATTTGTTATTAAAACTCAAAGATAAAATATTCTTAAATTAAATCTACAAAAAACTGAGAAGGCCATGGGATGGGTTAAATGGCAGCTGGAAATTGGTTAAAATTTTAACGTGACTGACAGCTGAGAAATAATAACAAGTATTGAATGTGGCTGAATAGATCTGTATAATTCTTCAGATCATACAAAAGCCGAATTCAATAATTGTTTTTATTATTCCTTTGAAAATATTCATATCTAAACTACCTAGTATGCTTACCTCAAACGATGCCTTAAAGTTTTGACTGTTCTGGCGGCAAATACAGGGGCGATTTAAGGGATGTGTAATCCATCAAAAATTGGCAAAAAGTTGTTGTCATCTGTGGTGTGTTATAGTCGTGGGTAGTAATTTTTTAAATTTGATTAATTGTGTAAATTATCTAACTGATGTGCAAACAGTTATCCTCTTTATTGGCCAAGAGGTGGGAACAACCAACATAAAATCGTCAGAAAGTCTGAAATATAAAATAACTAGCACGCTTTAATTTCAAGGAGAAAGGAAAAATGTATTTTTTTTTACAGCTACATGCATGTATATGTATGTATATTTTTTCTGTAGATTCATTAAAATTTGTGATAAAAAAATTCAGTGGGCAACCTACCCCCCCCCCGGGGGGGGGGGGGTACAGCCAGATGGGATATATAATGTGCCGCTTTATAGGGTATGGTGTTCAAGCAGCTAAGTCTGGGACTGGGTATAGAAATCAGAGAGAAACTCTTGGATAGGGAGGAATTTGGGAAGTTTAGTTTATTATAGAATAGCAAAATTCAGCTGAACCAGAAGTATAGGCTAGGTGCTCCAGTGTCGCAGCGACACATTACCACCCGAAAATTTCTGAAGAACCCCCGCCCCCCCCCCCCCGCCCCCGGCAGGCAACCCTAAAAGAGTAGACGAGATGTCCACTGCTTGAACGGTACATTAAAAAGCGCTAAATGATAAAATCTTCGAAATTAAGCGATAAGAAAAGAACAGATATATTATATCTTTAACAACGTATTAGATCCCAAGAATTTATTAAAACATTTTGTACTTATTTCATTACCAAACACACAAAGAAACGTCAGGTATTTAATATATTATCGTCCTAATGCAAATTTTTGTTATAGCACAGCGCAAGACAAATTATTACGAGATTAATTAGCAAATTATTACAAATAAAGACGATTAAAAGAACAAATAGAGCGTTTTCACTCACATGGCCAGCAACTATGCAAATTTATTGGAACAAAAGAGAGCGTTTACAGAGGCGAAGAGTTCAGTCAACTCCCACAGGATTGGTTGGCACGCCAACAAGGCCGCGGTTTCATTGTTTTGGAACACCAATATGGCCGCCGTGACGTCATGTAAAAACGCTCCATAGTAACCAGTTGATATCTGTCCCTGATATTTATGCAAGATGTTGGTTGTATTGTACAGTTGATGAGAACTTCCTATAACTGTTAAGAATGGAGACCTGGTTTTGGATTCTGGCTGGGTTCTTTCATTCCTGACCATCATTGGAAATGGATTTACAATCTTCCTCGTTTGCAGCAGACGAAATCTCCGCACCAAAACCAACGCATTTATTGTTTCACTTGCAGTAGCGGATTTCTGTGTTGGTTTGAGCGTTATTCCTTCTCTGTTCGCATGCTACATTACAAACACCTGCGACTGGCCTCGACATTTGCTGTCTTGGGTGAATATTATAAGGTGCTTGTTTAGTAACACGTCTGTTGTAAACTTATGCGGCTTAGTACTGGATCGTTTTATTGCCATCGTATATCCTCTAAAATACATTACTTTGATGACTCGCCGTCGAATTACCCAAGCTATTTTCTTCTCTTGGGTTCTAACAGTTAGTTATAATGTACTAAAAAGTACCCTTTGTATTGTTTTATATCAAAACAAGACCTGTCCTTTTGCAATTAATTTCAAATTTGGCTGACCATTATAGTTTTCGAGATTCTTCCATGTGTTATACTGATACTCTGCTTTGTATCAGTGATATTTCACGTACGCAGGCATGATCGGTCAGCACACACCTTAGCAAAACAGTTACGTTTTAACCATCAGGTGTCTTTTAAAACCCATCGTGAGAAGTCTGCAGTAATAATGATGGGTATTGTGATAGGAGTGTTTCTTGTTTGCTATGGGATTTATCTGCGTTGTAGTTTTCTATCACTATCCTCATCGCCCTGCAAAGATAAAGACTACAAAATTCCTGTCTTGGTTTTAAACTCGGCCATTAACCCGCTGGCTTATGCCTTTTTCAAAAGAGACATAAAGAAAGAGTTTAGAAGACTAATCGGTCAGGTGGTTTTTAAGAAAAGTAACCAAGTAGAGCCTTCCACTCATCGTTAGATCATTGTTGAAGGACAGAGATCTTCATATTAGGGTTGGCAGAACTGCCTTTGATAGCGGATTGTATCAGGTATCGCGGGCGGCAGTTTTGGGGCCGGCAAATCCCTGGAGGTTTGTCTCAAATCATAGTTCGGAAACACTGGTGTTTAATGAGGGTGCAAGAACCAAAGGACGATAAGAATACAATCCAGTATAAGTCAGGTGCTTTCTTGAAACGATTCCGAGGTATATATATATATAAAAACTTATTGGCGCTGTGTTTTAAAGAAAATACGTCAATTTTAACTAAACGCTACGACAGGACGCGTGACTCAATTTTGGACGATGTAGGGCTTAAAAGACGATGGAAAGCTTGAGAAGAGACTGCCAGATAGATGTGACTCTGAAAGTGGATTAGAATTTGGAAAAGAAAAAGGCGTGTGAGGAGAGAAAACAAGAACCTTTGGACCCTAAGAGAATGCAACATATTTGGGAAAGGATCAAGTTCACACAGTCATGGGGGGCGAAAGTTCTTATTGGATGGAACTTTTAGTATCACTGGTGAGAGTATAATCATTATGTTCACATCCTGCTGGCAGACACTTGGTTTCGCTTTCTCCATTTTGGTGCACTACTGTTAAAAAAGAAATATTCTGCATGAATCGAGAATCGAGTAAGATCATTTTTGAGCGTGTGAATTAAGTAGTAGTTTATTTATCTTCCAATTGCAAATTATTCCGATCAATTTAGCTCAGCCTGAATGAAATGTTTAAGAACGTTAGTACGATCTGCATCGACTGCATACAGGAGTGCTTTTATTTCTCATGACGCGAAAGGCCATCATTTTCTTTAGCAAACAAGTTTCCAAGCTGTTTCTTTGCTTTGAGTTTAACTTCTTGTAGCATCTCATATATATGTATTTTTTTCGAGAGTCGTGCAAATTTACCTACTCGCTTTTGATTGGATAGCGAAAACGAAAATAACTTCTAATAAACTGCTGTCTAACTTTTACCGTAATTTGTAACACCTGTCGCAGTTTCTAATAAAGAACTGTCGCAAATAAGAATACAATGACCTCCCAATTATTTAGTGAACCAAGTTGACAATAAATTGCAGTAAAGGGATAACTCACGTGACTGACTTTGTCCCGTTTGACTGACAGATGTTTTAGCGCTATTGCCACGTGAGGGTCCACATTTTCTCTAGCTCTTGCTAACTTAGGAATACGTCAATTTGATAAATGTGACCCTGCTTTTTACGCAAAAGGGTTATTGCGGGCGACAAGAGGAGCCCGCAATCCTAATATCCAGGTTGTTATTACGCATGCGTCGCATGTATGTAGCCAGCATTAGTTTGGACTTCCATTAACGGACGGACCATTAGAAAAGTTATGGGGGGAGTGGGGAATTTTCTAGCAGCAGGAATTTTTTTTTGTCATCAAATTCCTTGTATGAATGTTTTTTAGGCCGTAGCATGAATACTTTTTAGGGTTAATTGGGTGCATGAATTTTTTTTCATTGAATTTTCCCTTGCGCGAATATTTTTTTTGTACCCTTTAAGCCCCAATATCCACATACAAATTCTCCAAACTGATCTCCATACATTTCCTTTAAGAATCAGTTGGGAGAATTTAATAGCAGATCAAAACATTTGCTCTTTGGTGATCATTTCATAAATTCTCATGACAGTATTTCTTGACCAGGTATGAATATTGTTGGGAGAAAATTGATGTTGGTCACCACTGGGACTTAAAGGGTTAAGAAAGGAGCAAGACCCATAGGACAGTGCGCAAAAATCCGATTTCTGTCTTAGTGTATTTAAATCAAATTGCGGCTGACTTCTCGTTAAAAGAAAGCATGAGGTATTTCTTCTACTCTCGAAACACAAAGAAACAAACAACTCGGAAATGGAATATAATTTATCTGCAAACAAGATTAAGTAAAACACGCAGTAGCAAAACGGCGTTGACGACGGTGGAGAGACCAGGAAGCAGGTAACCTAACCACCGACCTTTCAACCGCTGTCACAGAGTAGACCACCGTGCCTTCACGATTTATCAAGTCAGTTAGGGTTAATTTCCACTGACGGTAATTTTTCCGTGCGAACGCTGGTAAATTTTACGCACGTAAATAAGATAGAGGGTCTTAATGGGGTTAACCGATAGGCGTAAAACGGCCAAAAATTTAGTCGATAGCCGTAACAATTGAAAAATTTTAACCGTTAGCCGTAAATAGGGTAAAAAAGAGTTAACCGTAAAAGAAATTGTCCCCTAGATTTGTTAATTTTAAGGAAGGTGCTAAACTCACTTATGGTTGCGTTATTTATTTCCCGGCTACTTTGACTCCGTGCGCACGTTAGGCCAAGCGCCTTTAAGTTGTGACCTAGACCTAGACTCCATTTCCGCCGCTCTCCCGGGGAACTAATAATTCCATACCGAAAATCTGGCTTCTTGCTGGGGATTAAAATTTGCGATTTTCAGGAGGTCGTGCCCTCGAAATACTAGTGAAACAACAGCTAGAGATGTCACTGTTTGCAAAACACGTTACCGATAAACAACAATTCCCCGTAACAATTCCCTGTTTTTCTCTGCCGGTAAGGTGGACATTGCCATACCTAGTCCCTGTTCGGCGTCTTCCCACGCAATCTTGGTGAAGGCATTTCGGTGGCGTATCTGCGAAAAAAACTCGCTCGGACAACGTGACCCAACACGCATTAACCGCGGGGAAAAATGAGGCCCATGGACAAGGCAACGGCAAACAATCTTTCTGTACAGTCCTTATCTATGATTAAAAACACTGAACACGGGAATTTTGTTATTGGCCGTTTTCAAACTAGAGCTAGAAATGGATTATCCGTTTCAGATAGCCCGTGTAC